ACATGCACATATACATACATACATACATGCATGCATGCATGCATGCATGCATGCATACATACATGCAGGCATGCATACATGCATGCATGCATACATACATATCGCAGCACATATATTGCACCACCTGGCTCACACCTCAAAGCTCACACCGCATACACCACACCTCAGGTATCACACTACGCAGCTTGCACATCCGCGGCGCGACATCTCGCTGCTCGAGGCCCACGCTGGCCAACACAACAATGCAATAAGATGAACGCATGCATACAGACTGAGGGAACGAGAGAGGGGGAGAGAGAGAGAGAGAGGGAGAGAGAGGGAGAGAGAGAAAGAGCAAGCGAACTACAGAGAGCCGCAGAGAGCTGGAGGGAACGTGCACGCCAGGAATACAGGTGGATGCGGCAACGGACACAAAAGGGCGCAGGCACACCTGAGCAGAAATCGACGGAGGCAGGTGGAAGCTGACCCAAGCAGGCAGCAAGGCACATAACACATACACCGACGTGCACATGTATCGAGATGGATGGACACACAGCCACGCAGCAGGGCGCAAAGGCTGACACGCAGCCAGATACTCACGGCCAGACACAGACAGAGACAGAAAGACAATGGCAGAGATAAACAGGGAGGCAGAGATGCAAAAACGAGATGAAGGGGGAGGGGGAGAGAGAGGATTAGAGAAGAGAGAAACATACGGAAACCTAGCCAGACATCAAGGCAGGCAGACAGAGAGAGACAGAATGAGAAAGACAGAGAAAGAGAGAGAGAGAGATAGAAAAAAAAGTGCAAGAGGGATAGGGAAAAAGAGAGAGAGGGAAAAGGAGAGAGAGAGAGAGAGAGAGCAAAAGTGATCCTGGCGAAGCACCCAGCCAGAAACAATTGTGAACAACCGCGTTGTGGCCACCGCTTCCGGTGGAGCTTCTTATGAGGCCATGAGACGCGGGAGAGGTGGGCCGTGATGGGTGGGGGGAGACGCATGCGACCGTCGTCAGTGGGGTCTTCGGTGGAGCTCTCTATGGGGGCCACGAAGCGGTGTGCTGGGCGGGGGGGGCGAATGCAGCCGCGGCCACTGAGGCCTTCGGCGGAACCCCCTGTCTGTGGCCAAGAAGCGATGTGCTGGGCGGGGGGGACGCATGCAGCCGCGGGCACTGGGCCTCTCGGGGGGGCTCCCTAGAAGACAACGAAACGCTGTACTGGGTGGCGCTGACGCGTGCGAACGTCGCATCTGGGGCCTCCGTTGGAGCCCCCTTATGGCGTCACGAAGCGCTGTACTGAGTGGGGGGAGGCGCATACTGCCGCGGCCACTGGGACCTTCGGTGGAGCTCCCGATGGGGCCACGAAACGCTGTAGTGGGCGGGGGAGACGCATGCGAGCGTCGCCTCTGGGGTTTGCAGTGGGGCTCCCTATTGGGCCACGAAACGCTGTACTGGGTTCGGGGGACGCGTGCGAACGTCGCCCATGGGGCCGTCGGCGGAGCTCCCTATGCGGCCACGAGACGCTGCACTGGGCGCGGGAGCGAGGGGGCGCGCGCATGCGAACGTCGCCTTTGGGGCTGTCGGTGGAGCCCCCCTCACTGGGTCACGGAGCGCGCGACGGGTGTGCCGAACTGGCCGACATGCGGGGGGCAGGGGCAGGGATGGGAGGAGTGAGGAGGAGGGCGAGGAGGGAAGAGGAAGGAGACGCGGGGCGATGCAGCTTCAAAACGAAGACCCAACACCACAGCACAGTTGGGAAAGTATTATGGCGAAGGACCCAGCCAAACGCAGCTGTGAATACCGCGCTATGGGCACTGCCGTCGATGGAGCCCCGTATGGAACCACGAAATGAGTGAATGGGGTGCCCTGTAGTGGGCGGCAAAAACGCCTGAGGTCGCGGCGGCCATTGGGGCCTGCGGTGCAGCTCCCCATGGGGCCACGACATGTTGTCCTGGATAGGGGGAGACGAATGCTGCCGCAACCGCTGGGGCCTTCGGTGGAGCTCCCTATGGGGCCACAAAGCACTATGCTGGGCGGGGGGAGACGCATGCGGCCGCTGCCACTGGAACGTCCGGTGGGAGCTCCCTAGGGAGGCTCGAAACGTTGTACTGTGTGGTGGGGGCGAATGTGGCCGCTGCCACTGGAGCCTTCGGTGCAGCTCTCTCTCTGGGGCCACGAAGCGCTGTCCTGCTTCGCGCGGCCGGGGCCTTCGGCGGAGCTCCCTTTAGGGCCACGAAGGGCTGTACTGGGCGGCGCAGAAGCATGCAAACGTCGCGTATGGGGGCTTTGGGTGTGCTCCCTATGGAGCCACGAAACGCTGCACTGCTTAACGCGGACGCATGCGATCGTCGCCTACGTGGCCTTCGGTGGAGCTCCCTTTGCGGCCACGAAGCGCCGTACTCGGTGGCGCGGACGCATGCGAATGCCGCGTCTGGCGCCTTCGGTGGAGCTCCCTACGGGGCCACGAAACGCCGTGCTGCGTGGCGTGGACGCATGCTAGCGTCGCCTCTGGGGCCTGCGGTGAAGCTTCCATGGGGCAACGAGACGCCGTCCTGGGTGGCGCAGACGCATGCGAACGTCGCCTCTGGGACTTTCGGTGGAGCTCCCTTTTGGGCCACGAGCCGTGTGAGGGGTGTGCCGTGATGGACATGCGGAAGGCAGAGGCAGGGATGGGAGGAGGGAGGAGGGGGCAGCGGGAGGGAAGAAAGGAAAGAGACGCGGGGCGCTGTCTCTTCGAAACGAGGACCCAACACCGCGGGATGGTTGGAAGCAACCCCAAAAAACGTGCACGGATACGGAGACGGAGACGGAGGCGGAGACGGATGTGTATACAGGGACGGAGACGGAGACAAAGCCAGAGACGGGCAGAAACCCACCGTGCCCCTTGGCACCCTGAGGCGTGTGGCAGAATGCCACGTGCTGTCTGGAAAGGCTTCTATATTCTACAGGACCCCCCCCCCTCTGCTGGCATCCGGCGGCAAACATCGCCCCCCCCATCCCGAAGCCACGACCCCTTGCAACAAAAATGGGCCCGCGCTCCTGAAGTCACGATGCCTCGTGTGAAAGAATGGATCCGCGTCCCGAGCTTCCTAAACGGCCCATGCAGGTAACCAAGATTACCAAGATGGCCCAGGATGCCTCGAAGACGGCCCAAGATGGCCCCAAGGCGGCCAAATATGGCCTCAAGACGTCCCAAGATGCCTCCAAGAGGACCCAAAAACGCCACAATAGGACCTCCAACAGGGTCCGAAGAAGCCAAAAAAAATTGTTTCCCCGTTGGTTTCTGCATGATGTTCGCTTTCTCGCCTCTCTGGACTTCTGGCAGCTCAACACGGCCCAAGAAGTCCCCGTGCTGGCCCCAAGACGGCCCAAGAGGCCTCCAAGAGGGCCCCAAGCTGGCCGAAGAGGACCCCACGATGGCCCAAAAGGCATCTAAGACGACCCAAAGACAGCCCAAGAGGGCCTCCCATGGGTCCCAAGACGTCCTTTAAAGGCCCTTCGACGGCCCACGGCTGTCCGCGACGGCCACCAGACACCCACCATACGGCCAAGAAGGCCTCAAGACTGCCCAAGAGAGGCCCAAGGCGGCCTAAGAGGAGCCCCAGACGGCCCAAGAGGGCCACATTGAACCCCCAAGACTGCCTCAGGGGGCCAAGACAACCCCAAGACAGCCCAAGCGAGTTGCACGAGAGCTCCTTACATAGTGCAGAAGGAAGGTGTCACATGCAACCCTTTTCATCGTCCTCCTTCTCCTCCTTCTCCTCCTCCTCCGCCATCCTTCTTCCTTATAAGCAACTCCTCCGTGTCGCACCCCAAGACGGGCCGGTATGGCGGGCTAAGCGTTCGCCTGAGAATTCCCCACCAGCTATGACCCTGGAACTCGAACATGTGCAAGAACTTCACGGGTGGAGGGCGGGTGGTTCTCAAAATGTGGCTCACGCCTTAGCGCCGGGCACATTCGTCTTGACAGTGCACTTGATATTCACGGATGGAGGGCGGGTGGTTTTCAAAATGTGGCTCTCGACTTAGCGCCGCGCACATTCGTCTTATTTGCAAGAGCGTCACGGGTGGAGGGCGGGTCGTTTCCAAAATGTGACTCTCGCCTCAGCGCCGTGCACACTCGTCTTGCAAAAGGTTCACGGCTGAGGGCGGGGGGGGGGTCAAAATGTGGCTCTCGTCTTAGCGCCGCGCACATTCGTCTTGAAGGTCTACACCAGGCTCAAGGAATGTGACGTCCTGGAAATGGTGTATTGGCACGACTCAGGGCTCAGGGCGCGACAATCAAGTGATTCACAATGTAACGTCCCAGAAATAATATCCTAACACGACTTCGGAATGTCAGGTCGCGTCAGTGACGTTGATTCGCGGCGTTAAAATCCCAGGAATGGTGGTTTGGCAAGGTTGGAGATTTTCGACCAGTTGTCTTCCAAAGGGGCTCTTCCCATAGTGACAATAAACCCTTATAGACGCCAACGAAGGGGAAGCTTGGAGGAAGGGGTGATTGCAACATTGTTGATGAGTCTTGCGATTGCGATGGTCCTCCTCATCCTGCTCCTACTCATCCGAATCATCAACAACATCATCATCATCATCATCATCATCATCATCATCATCATCATCATCATCATCGCCGTCGTCTCAGCATCATCATCATCACCACCACCATCATCTACTTCTTCTGCATCATCATCAGCAGCATCATTATCATCATCATCCTCATCCCCCCCCGTCATACCCATCGCACCCATCATCCTCATAATCCTCATCACGGTTCGCCCACGTCTGCAGACACGAGGTGTCACCTGTGACGGCCTCCCGTGCCCCCTCGAACAGTCGCCATCCAGAATGCTGGGCTGGCACGGTGGCGGGAAAGCCCCACGGGGAGCTGGATATGATGGAAACATAAATAAAAGCTGAGAGTGAGACGAAGACTGAGAAGGACATAAAGGGGAAATTGAAACAGAAACGGAGACGTAGACCAACGAAGAACTGGACAGAGATGAGCCACCATGGAGAGTCTCGCGCCTGCAGTGGGTGCAGCGGCCACTGAAAGCCGTTCCGGCGGACCCAGTTCTCGTCGTTCGAGAATGGCATGGGCGCTCGTCACGAGTGCACGACACATGCATCGCAACCTGCCGCGCGTGTCACTGCACGAGCCATAAGCGGCT